GAATGTTTTTACATAATGTCAAATGATAAAATTTAATATATTTAATTTGATATTCTAAAAACGTGGTGAACGAAATATTAACCATGCTGCTCATTTTTCAGGTTGTTCTTATGTATATTTATTTACTCAAGTTGAGCATGAAACAAATTTTTGACACAAGAAGGCCGTGATTAAAGTGCACTGCGGTTCATTGCCTCACCATGAGACATTGTCTCAAAAATAGCCAAAGCCCTCTCTCATTGTGGGGTACCTACAGCACCCCTTTAAATCAAGGGGGAGGTGTTGCCTGGAGAAGCAGCACTCTGGGAGAGAGTGCCAAGCAATAGCTGATCTTATGTTGAAAAGTGCCAGAAATATAGATACTTGATAAATAAAAGATTATGTAATAGTTTGCAAACCTCAAAATCAATATTACCTCCCCCCCACACCAAAAAAAAAAAAAAATTCAAAGTGTATTCTCTGGTTTAAGGCAACCCTCTAAAATTTCTGTTTTTAACTTAATGGTACTTGGTGACTTCTGGAAAATCTCAAATAAAATTTTCAATAGAGGCAAAGCATTAGTATAAGCTATCATAAATGGTCCTGAAGTTATTATATCCTCATATGACAAGGCAAGGCTTTTTGAAATGAACTTTGGCTCTAATTCTGTGTTAGATGATAAGGACCACTCTTTACCTGACTTCCCCCTTACCACAGAGCACAAATTTAAGAATGTGGGTGAGCATTCATTTTTGTTGCAATATTGACCTATTAATCTCCTTAGTGTCATCAGCAAACTCTTTTGAATTGATAATCAACAAGGTTTTTGAACGCATTAGCAGGAACAACCACCTGTGATAAGCAGTATGGATTTTGCTCTGCTAGACCTGCAGCTGATGTCTTAACTGACATTACTAACAGAATCGGTGAGATACTAGACATTAAATTCATCACAAGGACTATTGTCCTAGAGATATCAAAATCCTTTGACAAGGTGTGATACTGGGGGCTGCTTCATGAACTCTCCAGTTATAGAATCTTTGGAAGAGCTTTCTCAATTATCAAGTCCTTCCTAACAGGTAGGTCTATGAAGGTCGTCGTTAATAGCCTGTCATTTGAAGCTCGATGCTGTCATTCCTCAAGGTTCCCTCTTTGGTCCTACCCTCTTTCTGTTCTGTATTAATGATCTGCCTAAGAACATACTTTGATCTTTAGTGAATATCTATGTGGCTGATACAACAGTTTATAGGTGGTGCACCTCCAAAATCTGGATGACCAGAACCTGGCAACAAATCTCTCCTCTGACCTAGGAGAAAGGACTGGCTTGTAAAATTCAATACATCCAAAACCAAACTAGTAACCATTGCCAAGTAGACCCTTCAAAGTATATATACACATGTATATAGCTTTTAACATGGTTAGGCTATGATCCTATACTCTACTGTGAGTCTGTATGGTTAACCTAACATACAATCATATCTTCTCATTGAATTTTTATTTGCAATACTGTATGATATTCTTTTACTTAACTGACAAATATCAAAGTGTATTATCTGCTATATTTTTGGTGTGCAGAAACAGAAAACAACTTCATTTTATTAACTTCAAAACAGAAATTTTCAATTTCAAAATAATCCTGATTAAAGTAGTTCTGATAATTAATGCATTAAACATTTTTGTGAAGAATAAGTTTCTGAATTTTCAATGTGTTTAATGTTAAATAACATTTTACAGTTAAATCAGTTTCTCTAGCTTTGAAGTGAAAGAATATGTACAACAGTTTTTAAGATTAATTCTAAATTCCCATTCAATAAAAATATTTGAGTAGATATCATTCAGTCATTAAAAAATGAAGACAGCATCACATAATTTTATATACGCCTACATATATATTGAATATCTATTTTTTTATAGTTAAATGGGTGGTAAAAACTATGGGTATTTTTCAGCATGCCCACATCACTACGGAATGTGACACAAGGTTGAGGTTTAGAGTGGGTTTAAAAAGTATGAAATCAGTCACTTTTTAATATTGTTATAATTGATGCCTTGATTACTAGGTTCCATAAAATTTGATGTGTTATAACAAAAACTAATTTTTATATTGTTTACATTAAAAAAATTAATGCTTTTTTTTTCCTTTAAAATTTTCTTCAAATCAGAACTTTTTTTTCTTTCATCTGATTAGCTTTCCTCATGTGATGGATTGATATAATTTTTCAACATTTTTTTTTTCTGGGTGGGGGTATTGTACTAATTTTTATTTAATTTAAGCAAATGTAGTAACAGTATTTATATTAATAGTTTTTATCAGTTTACACATAAATTATGTAAAGAAACATTTAAGAAATTAAACTAACTTAAGGATAGAAATCGACAATTTACTCATGATCTTGTGGTTTGAGGTGAGTTAATAGACCAGTTGATTTAACCTTGTGTATAGGTTTTTCTCTCCTTTTGGTTAGGAAGAGAATTTTTCTCTTAACTTTTGAAGTATGGTCCTTGCTCTCAACCAAAATTATACATTCATAATTATTGAATATGATTTTTTATTTAGAAATTCTTACTAAGGCATTTTATACAAGGTATTTGTGTGTGCATGCATGTGTGTGTGTGTGTGTGTGTATATATATATATATATATATATATATATATATATATATACACACAGACAATTTTCATTAAAGATGACTGACAAGATACTGCAATTAAACTCTTTATTTAATTTTTATTGTGTTCATATAAGTGTTTTCTTTTTGTAAAAATTGACCAAATCTTCAGTATATCCAAGTACTTTTGGCTATTCTATTAGCCATAATCAAGGATATATATATATATTTTTTAACTGAATGTGTACATTTTTGTTTCTAGATTAATGAGAATTTTATTTCCAAAACACAGTCAGCACATTCTGGCCGTGTTCATAGTTGATGTTATTGAGTGTTGACTTATTTATTATTAGTGATTCCATTATTTTTAGTCTTTTTTTTTTTTTTTTTTATTTGGATGAATCTATTATACTTGTATTTTCTGCTAGTAAGTTGCAGATGAAGTTTGGTAGTATTCCATGTGTGTTTAATTGGGCTATCGCTATGGTCAGTCTTTTTGATAGGCATGTAGCGATATGTCCAATATAATTATTCATGAATAGTTTGATCAGGAACACGGTTCCTTAAAGGGACATGGGAATTCATATTGGTTCTCTGTAAAAATATGTAAGTTAAAAAAACATTTCAAGTTAATTTCAAGTTCTCCGACTGCACCAAACTGAACTGCAATAATAAAATAAAAATTAAAAATAAAATTTTAGATTTTGCATTCACTGAACTATTATTATTGTGTACATTTTTTCCTTTTTATTTATTTTACATAAAACACAACTTGCATCGTCCGTTACGTAAAAAAAGTGGAAGATGACTGTGACAGGATGAGGAATCTTCCAAGTTTATGAATCAAAGTTTGTATTCGGACCGACATCAGTCACAAAAGAAAAGGTAGATTGTCTGGAGTCGAACCTGTAATTTGGAAATTGCTGACCCAAATATATGATCGCTTAACGGAAATTTCTCAGAAACGATCGGTTGTACCCTATCCTATTTTTTTTTTTTTTACTCAGGAATATTTAGGTAACTGTTTATGTACTTTACGTCGTACACAAGGTTGAGTGAGTAAGCGGGGCGGGGGGGGAATAAAGTTGTAAGGAGAACGTAATTTTGCAGAATAATCTTTATTTTGATTTTCATAATTTTCAGGGAAAATTTTTTTTAAGATTTTAATTAAAAATATTATATCCTTGTTTTGTTAGCATATTGTCATTTTTGATTCTATCCAACAGGGAGAGAAAAGCATGGTTAGTAGTTTTCATCTAGGTTCTTAATTTTATTTTATGCCGGTGAGAAGACAACGACTACTACATACACAAAACTAGGCTACTCAACAAATGTGTTAAAAAACGAATTATTTGATAGGTTTAATTTTGAAATTATACTTGACCTGAAACAGTTAAGAAGTTGCGTTACAATTGAATATTTCTTTGGTATCATTGTATTTAAAAGTTTAGAAACCAGACTGCTGATGTATGGTGACTGTATTGAACGTGTCAGTTTGTACGTACACTCATTCAACATTTCAACAAAGTACAGTAGAGCCCCCCCCCCTTTTAAAATTCTCTACAGGATTTTTCTCTTTATTAATTTGTTCTTAGTAGTCGTGATGCCAACTTATAACAAACGTATACGAAAGCTATCTTTTTAAAACATTTTCTTCCAGCTGAAGACTAAATAAGGGATATAAAAATGTTTTTCTTTCTTAATCTCTATCAAACAAACTCAGTTTTCACTTTCTTCATCTATTTGCAAAAATACTGTTTGTGTTTGTCTCATGGTATTACTATTTTTTTTTTTTTTGGTCTCCACTTCTTCATCCTGCATTTTTCTTCTCGTTTGTGCACAAGGAACCAGTCCTCCACTATTAACTCCTTTTTTCTTCATCTTCGTCGATTTTCATCCTCGGATACCTCGTGTTTCTTCTAAAACCCACATCTCCGTATAGCTCTTTGTTTGGACCTTTCTTCTCTCTTCCTTAGGTGCCTTTCTTCCATAAAGAATCCTTTATCTTTCTTTTCTTTCCGTGTCTTAAACTCCTCTTAGCAGCAGCCACAGCATTTTATCCTCTTCTTCGTAGAAAGCGAAGCGTGAGCTGCAGTAATGCTATGAGGATGGTGGTAGTAGTAGCAGCAGTACGGACGTGAATACTGGCAAAACCGTGTTGCTGCTGATAGGCTTCCTTTCCTAACATACCAACCTACAACTATTATTATTATTATTATTATTATTTATAGGCAGCAAGACGGGCGACCTGTGGCAAATCACAACTTACTGTCATGACCACTGCCGTTCCTCTTCCTTTGTCGACATCTTAAATCTCCCTTTATCTAGCTATTAGTAGCTTTATTTTTTTTATGCATATTACTTATTGGATTTGGACTTCTTACTTAGTGATTCTGGCGCTCACCGCATGTCATGTCTTGGTTCAAGAAGGTACGTACTCTGTATCTTATTTAAATGGAAAAAATTAAAGAAATGATTCCTTTTCATCGGATCTCCTGTGTGTCTGAAATTGTGTCATAACTTGACGCGCCAGTCTTAAGCTTTTCGTTCTCTCTCGCAACTTGTCCTTTTTTTTCCTTTTTTAAATTTTACTCTTATTCTTCGTTTTGCTGATACTTTGTCATTCATGTCTGGATTACTACAAAAACCACACATCACATTTTTTATCCATAAAAAAATGGAAGTGCCAATAGTCCTTTTTAAAATGCAATGCAAATTTTGTGGGTCTTCTTGTCCAATAAACTTACTGTTAGTGATAAAATGTTTCGTGTACGTTTTAAATTTTTGTCTATCATCATCGTTTTCCTTGTGCTTGTTAATCGTCATATGTGGAGTTGCCGACATGACTCAGTCTGTTGGAATAATATTGGAGATTTCATTTTAGGCTGTCTCAGAAGAAACAAAAATCGACAATTTTTGCATTTTTATGTTATTCATATTATCCAAATATCAGTTAATTTATTTTCTTCTTTGCTGTTTGTACGTGGCATTAAATTCAGATGGGTCACTTAATTTTTTGACATTTTTATTTTTGTTTAATCCTTATTTATAAACGACAAAAAGATGTTTCGGCAGTAAAACGTTGAATTTTTCAACGTTTCAGATATTTACTTTATTTTCTGAATCTTATCACTGTCCTTATGAAGAAAATAGCAAAGTACTGTATTCATCTATTGAAAGTCTTTTTTTCTTCATTTTTAATTCAAATTTATTTAAAAATTATTTTAATTTTAACCTTCATGTTTTAATTTTATAATTTTTAACATTATAAAATCAATTTTTGGGTGCACTCTTTAATGTAACTCATTAATTATTATTATAGTACTCTTTTTTTTTTTTCTCTCTCTTTTTTTATAGAGTACTTTGAAATCTTACAAATTTCGACTGAAACAAGATGTTCAGTTGTCTGCACTCTTTTCTTCGCTAACAAATCCCCCATTATTTGAAAATCCAAACAGTCAAAAACTAGGGTGTGGTAATAAAATTGCATATCCTTTTTTTAATCTTTATTTTATATTTCATTTTTTTTGTCATCAAATTCTGATATGAGAGTTATTTGTGGTTTACACAATTAAGTACTGTTATTGAAACATTTTCATTGTTAATGAACATCACATCATTTTTATTTTATTTTTTTTTTTATTTAATTTTAATATAAAACTAGTTTTGAGTTTTGGAATATTCATATTTGCCATTATTAAAAGAGAAAAAAAATAACCAAATTTTTCCTTGAAAATGTATTTCAAATTTTTTTAAAAATTAATCTATTTTTCTTTTATTTCTCAAAAAAATATACTCCCAAAAACATGTTAAATAAATGAATATGTGACAAGTTTTGAATCTTTTTTTCTCTTAAAATTTTTTAAAGAAAATCCCTGTTAATAATTTAACCTCTTAAAATACAAAGTGCCATTTTTCTCTCGATTGGGATTCAGTATTGACTGAATCAATTTGGATCCAGAGCTTTGTTGAGTTATCTACTCTCGTCACCATTGCCTTATGTTAAAATAAATATTTACGGTTAAAAGTAACGTTTCTGAAGTAAATAAAATTTTGCTTGGTGTTTTGGATGTTGAAATTAAAACTGTCAGGAATTGGAACTTTAATTTGCAACAGCTGTCAACTGGCACTTTGTTTAAAAATAAAACCAACTATGTTGAATTTAAAAATATCAAAAATGTACATATAAAAATCTTATCAAAGCTAGTGATATATTTTAAAGGGTATGTGTATATAATTTCTTTTAGTTGCCATCATTTACACATGCAGAGCACCTTGCTTGCTTCGTTAAAGTAGTACCCCGTCTTTGTTCGAATTGCCATCACCTCATTTCACCAGTCGACCAGAACCGAACCACGGACTACTGCATTTATTGATACTCTTAACGTCAAACATGCTCGCATGTCATCATCATTTCATCAGTCTTTTTGATGATGATGATATTATGTGGACACATCATTTGAATCTTAGAGTAGCACTTAAATGCTGATTGAATAATATAAATTTCAATGATTTACACAGTTTACTTGCTATTTTCCTGATATACTTCGAAAAATTATTTGATAACATTTGATTTAACATCGTTAGACTTTTTACATTTTTCTGAGGTCATTAAGCAAACAAGAAATTAATTTTGATGATGAAAAAAAAAATTGAGATTGTTCAATGTTCTGGGAGTTGAAATGCAAGCCTTTTTTAAGGCCTAACACATTTTGACTGGGTCACGTGATTTCCTCTTAATGATTAATGATGGTGCGTTAATGGTAAAAATACAAAGAAAAAAAAATTATTTTCTCTTAAGATTTTTGTTTTGCTTATCCAAATGAGACTAGTTTCTATCAGTTGAATAGTTTTAAAGTATCCTAGTATAATGCAAACTTTTGCTTGATTTTCTGCTATGTACTTTCTGAGTTATTCCTGATTTATGATGCCTTATTAATATTTGTAAAGATTATGAATAATGGAAGTAAACAACCAAATATGAAAAGTGTCAAACAACACATTTTGAATTTTTTTGCCATGCTTGAAAAAGGTCTCTCAGTCACATTGTGATTGAGTGGTTTTAAATTAAAAATTCAATTTGTGTTATTATCAAGTTTCCAATATACAAGTTAACAGTTGCTATCAAATTAGTGGGTAAACATAAAATATCTGCTATTATGTGACTTTAAATTTAAAACTCTTATTAATCTTTAGATTTTGTCCCTTCATTTACAAGCAATCTTATCCCCTCTAACATGTAAAAACCACTATTTTTCATTTACCATGCAGAATATAAAGTATACAGAGCTATTTAAGCATGAGTTTACTGTGGGATGTAGCCATAGAAATATCAAAAGTTAAAATTACATTGGGATAAATTGACTGCAAAATCATGGGAAAAATTTACTCTTCTTTTAGTGAAAGATGTTTTAGGGAGTGGACAAATCCTTTTGTGTTATGTGTAATAAAAAAAAATGCATTATTCACATAAGATACTGAGTTTCTTAGACATGTCTGATTTTGTTATATCACCTTTTTGTGCAACATTCAAGTTTTGCAGAAATTACTTGAATTAAGATGGTTAAGTTTGTAGTGAGTAATGTTGAAAGCAGTTATTAAAACTTATAGGAATGCATATTGTGTCCTCATTACTAAATCTTTTTCTCTCATCAACTGGTTGTTATCAGTAATATTGTATACTGTTTGGTTTGTCCATTCCAGCACTATCGCAGCTTGTCATCAACAACACATACCAACTAGGGACTGGTGTTTTTCATCTAAATGTTGCTATTACTACTATTACTACTACCAACCTTACATTCTCGGATTACAGCATCCTAATTTTATGCCATTTTTAGCTATGACTGCATAGAAGACTTGCTCAAGATATATGCAACTATTCTTTAGTGTCAGATGTTACAGGAGCATGAATGAAGTCCTCTATTTAAGTGTCACTGGCTGAGTTTTTTTTTTTTTTTTTTTTTTTTTTTTTTAACTTTCCTCTGAATTAAATGACTTGGGATATCCTAGTTTAAATTAACCATTAAAAATTTTTGTCAACTAAACTGCATAATTTCAAGCTAGTTTTGAGATCTTTTAATAAACTAGGTGTTGACATAGTTGTATGAGGGGTTCCAAGTAGAGGATGATCTTCCCATCAAACTGAATAGTATCATATTCTGTACATTCACCCATGTAGGGGTGAATGAAATATATAATTTCCACAGTTCAACACATTTAACACATTGTTTCTCAAATTTTTTTTAACTTTTGAAAAAAATTGTTTGCTCATTGGCTAACACTTTCATTTGAAAATTTATTTCATAATCCTTTGAAAATTTATTTCATAATCCTTTGAAAGTTTGGAAAAAGAAAATAGATGTAGTCAAATCTGGTGAGTAGGGTGAATGGGTTTATGTACTCAGATCACAAATTCTTCAAAGATGCATTGTTATGCAAGAGGAAAAATGCCTTTCTACAGCTTCCCTGTGTTTTTCTTTCAATGCCTCATTTAATCAGCATAGCAAGTTAGATCAATATTCTGCATTGTGTTTGGCTCTTATCCTTTTAAAAAAAAAAAAAAGGTACTGGTTATGAACTTTCCTGTTGTCCTATAGGTCTTAATTTCTCCAAAACTGGAGAACCTCCTGAGTGCTGCTATTGTATAGATTGTTGTTTGGTCTGGATAATAGTGGAGTAACTGTGTCTCAGCAACAATGTTTATCAAACATTCCAAAAATAACTAGATTACTGAAAATGCTGCAAAGTCGACTGTTGTAGCCACTCAATGTTATTTCTGATCAGCATTCAAACATTTTAGCATCCAGTTGGTTGACAGTTTCTGTATACCTAGCTGCTCATGAATTATAAATACAATGAATTCTTTTGGATATCTTTTGGCCAAAATTCATTGTTGGGCCAAAAATTAAATCCTGATCCTAATCAACAATTTCAGGAGTTGACACTGTTGAAGTCCTCTCAGATGGTGTAGCATCTTGGGTCTCAAAATCTCCACATTGGAAATTGACGTAACACTTTTTCACAGTTGAGTATGATAGGCACTTATCTAATTTTTGCATAATGTACATGTAGAATTCCTTTGGTTTCCCCTGCAAGAACAGGAAGTCTATGATGACCCATAATTCATTATTTGAAAATTCCATACTTTCCATTGACATGGTTCAGTCACTGATCTGAAATATAAAAAAATAGGCACAGTTAGCCTTAAAATTATCACTTTATAACATAAGTTCCCTCTTTTTCAGTTACTGTGATGAAATAACATGAGTTTGGGAAATGCTTCAAATGGAGAACTTCTTAGAACCCTTTTTTACACCCAGTTTGATTATCTCTTAACTATTTGAGGATTGCTAGTTGAAATATAATTTCTCTGTATAGAAATAACTAGATTACCAAATTGGACATGGCTTAATTGCCATTAGAAGTTA